ATGAGAGTGCAATAAAGAAAATCCAGGCCTTCTAGAGAAGAAAGTTTAAAGGGACTATTATACTTCTCTCTTTGGGGATATGTTGAGTTTGAGATACTCAAGGAGACCCTAAAAAATGTTCTCCTAGCTCATTTTATAGTAGTTAGTACAGCTCACACAGACACAAAATTTTGTTGAATTAAATTGCCATTGCTAATTTATTAAAAATAGCCATGCTGAGGGGCGCCTGGGTGGCTCGGTCAGTTAAGCATCCGACTTCGGCTCAGGTCATGATCTCACAGTCCGTGAGTTCGAGCCCCGCATCGGGCTCTGTGCTGACCGCTCAGAGCCTGGAGCCTGTTTCGGATTCTGTGTCTCCCTCTCTCTCTGCTCCTCCCCTGTTCATGCTCTCTCTCTGTCTCAAAAATAAATAAACGTTAAAATTAAAAAAAAAAAAATAGCCATGCTGATAAATTCTGAGATCTGCTATCCACACTAACTGTATTTGAATCAGTTGTTCTTTTTTCTCCAAAAGTCATTACCACAATTTTCTGGATAAATGAATTTAAAGGCTTTTTTCTTCATTGTGTTTATGACAACTTTTTAAAGTTTGAGGGAGAAAGGGAAAAACTTTAAGCCCATAACACAGAAGGAAAATTTTCTAGGCCAGATAAGCTTTTGTTTACATAATTAAACTTAAATAATCAAGAGTATAAGATGAAGATTAAATAGTAATAGGAAACCATCTCTCACAAAGAACTAACAATCTTTTCTTTCCATGGTTCCAGAATGAAAGGAAACCTAGTGGTATTAGAGCTGGGTAGTGATCAGAGGGATTTTTTTTTTTTTTTTTTTTTTTTTTTTTTTGCGGGTTGGGGGGAGAACTGAGGCAAGAGGTGTAGCTACATCTGCCAGAAAACAGAGATATCATATAAGGTCTGTACAGCTGATTAGACTAATTAATAATCACGTAACCATTGTGGTTTTGCCCCTCCTGCAGCCAGGTTTGGGCTGATAATATTTTTGTATCCTTCCCAGGTTTTAGCTTGTTCACACTAGATGTTTGCCACATAACTAACAGCACCATCCAAAACCACTCTTGGGAAAAAACTACCTGGATCCTGTTTGTTGTCCTGCATAAATGTTGGGAAAACAAAATTCCATTTCTGCCCATGAAGAGAAACACCTGCTTTTTTAACCAGCAGGAACATTTTAGTCAACATTGATGCACACCGGTTGGGAAATTGTTTAGAGATCCATGGCGGCAACATACTCTCTCTCGTGGTGACTTGACAGATGAAAGAGGTGGGCTGAGACCTCTCATCTTACCTGTGGCAACAAGAGTCAACTGATGCAGGTGTGTTATGTCTCTGATAGAATCCTAACGACAAATCAGAGGACGCAACAAGATCTTACTGTAATTGTTGTAGCAATCCTTCTTAGGTATGTGAGGATCTATTGTGGGAATGGCTTAATTGAACACCAGAAGATACAAACTCAAATTCTCATGGTTCTAGCACAGCTGATTTTAATTCTTGCTATTCCTGTATGACAAATTGCTTTGTCAGCTCATAAGATGAGCACAGAGGGAAAAAAATGGTTATTATTAACAAATTTCTGTCCTTTAATATGTTTTACATGAGGCCAATAATCTCCTTTTCCCTGGCTTGCTACATTAATCATCAAATCATACTTTGCAAGGGCCTTTAGATTTTCTTGATTCTTTATAATAAGCTAACAGTGATTTAAGATGTTGGGTGATAGCGTAGAAAGATTGTAAAACCTCAGTGTCAGCAGTAGAAACGTCCTGAGCTACAAGAGGTGCATTTTGTTCAAGACTTAAGTAGCAATTATGCCAAAGTGATGAACGGGTGTAGAGACTTTGTGATGAAGAGAGCCAGTTGAGAAAGATGACCTTATCACTCTCCAGTGTAACTGGAAAGGCAAATGCCCCCAGAAGTATTTTAGCTCAAAAAATAAAACTTCAAAATGGTAATGCTGCTCCAGAATCAATTAAGATAATTTGAAGGATACCTATGTAGCTTGCCAAGTCAACATGCATTAAAAATAGGGCTTGAGGCACCTGGGTGGCTCAGTCAGTTAAGCATCTGACTCTTGGTTTTGGCTCAAGTCATGATCTCATGTTCGTGAGTTCGAGCCCTATATTGGGCTCTGCACCGATAGTGTGGAGCCTGCTTAGGATTCTCTCTCTCTCCCTCTCTCTCTGCCCCTCCTGCTCTCTCTCTTTCTCTCTCTCTCTCTGATAAATTCTGGGATCTGCTATCCCCTATCTGCTATCTTTCAAAATAAATAAATAAACTTAAAAAATAGGGCTTAAAAAACAATTTGTACATGATGATTACATATAATTATAAAGTCAAATAAGTGACATAATTTCACCTGACATGCTTAAATTATTGCTATGCAAATTAAAGCTATTTTTATAAGTAATATTTATAAGCCAATATTCTAGTTCTGATGGTTCAAAGAGCCTTTGTTGTAGTTCTCAAATTCCATGACTATTAGTGTCAACCGGTTAATGCTGTGGCAGGAGACACATGTAATGCAATCATGTGGGAAGGGCATCTTCTGTTTTTAATTGGAGCCATGCTGGAAATCTTTGGAAGACTTCTCCTTTTTAGACTTCCCGAGCACTAAAGATGAAAAAGAAAAACAGATACCCTCCCCTAAAATACTAATTGAAGACACATTATATAAAAATAAGTAAATAAATAAACCTTTTCTAAAAGAGGCAAAAAAAAAAAAAAGATCAGTATATTGTCTTTCAAAGTCCCTGTTTTATGTGGGTTTTGGCAACCTTTGACTTGTTTTTGCAGCCAACTATGATACTGGGCTGGCTCAGCTGTAAGGTTATTTTTTCCCCTTTCTGGCTACCTGCTCTTGTGTCTCTAAGTCTTGACTTTTTGCAAATAGAATAGGAACTCAAAGGGTGTTATATTTTTTTGTGTGTGGAAGAAATAAATAAACACATAGTCTCCTACAGTGTAAAATCCGTGCTGCAACAGCATGGCCAAGCTTCAAGTTGCTAGACCAAAACTTAAAATGCCATGCTGTCTACTGTGGGTGCAGGCTCCCACTTCCCTGAGATGCAGCTCCATTTGTCCTACAAAATTATATGTAAAAAATATAACATAGAAAAAATATAACATATCCAGAAGAACCAATGCAGTGTCAGTAACTTTGGGTAGCCGTAAAAATCTGAGGACCAAAATGAATTCTGATAGTCATCTTAAGGCTGAAAAACAGGATCCAAGAAACCTTTAGTGGTCATTTCCCTAGTCAGTCCAATGACTGCCTTCTGGTTTACCAAGGGGGCCATTTGAGAAAGAACAAGAGATCCCGTGTCTGGCAAAAAGATCAGATGAGACATTGCAGTTTTTTCTTCCATTGCACTTTCAGCAGAAGCTCCTAAGATCTAGAGCAAACAACAGGAGCCAAGTAACTTCATACTCCAAAACAATGTATGCAAAACTTGAAAAAGTATAGACAAAATCCAGTTTTGCAAACCTTTGTCTCATTAAAAGAGTAGGGAAATGAAGACGAAGGAAGAGAGAGATTTTCCATGTGAGTTGTCCAGATGATTGACAGTCTTTCTCCCTCATAAGGAATTGCTTTACCCTTGCTTCAAGCCAAATGAGAGGGGCCTTCGAGAGACCAACTTTAAGAAGTGGACGTGTGTCCTTTAGGGTTTGGGGAGCATTAGAATTGGTATGAGACACTGTGGCTATAGATGAGCTTTAAGATGGCCAGGAGAATGAGAGAGCAAGAGTGAGACCAAGAGCAAGAAAGAGTGAAAGAGAGAGAGGGCTGTATTGGCAGCTAACTCTATTTCTAGCAACAGCAGAGCAAGTGTGCATGAGTGTTTCTGGTGGATCAAAGGTGGGCAACAGTATAGCAAGCCTAGTGCTATTTTGAATAGTTTTCAGGAGGGTGCCTGGAGTGGCAAGGTGACCCACAACAGAGGGAGGGACAATTGGAAGTCAAGGGGCCCAGGTATTGCCTCTATCAAGGAAGGCATAGTCAGAGGGCCCCAGTGGGAAGGAGGGTCTTCAAGGAAGTCTACGAAAGCACTTTAACAAGAATTAGCATGCCCTACCCAGAAAGCACATCAATGGGTTATGCTTACACCAGTCAAGTAAGACTTTCATTGTCCTTAACATCTCCCTAACCTGACCCAGTGACGAAACGGGTGAGAGAAAGAGGAAAGAAAGCTCCTATACCCTCTCTCCTCCTTTGGGCTTTGAGACCCAAGAGGGCCTGAGCTGGGGGAAGGAAATGACTTCATGTGGTTATAACAGGACTGGGCAATTTTAGTACTGAACTGTCATTCTTCTTACGCCTGAAAATAATTTTTCATTCTTATTATCTGAAAGTTGTTTTAAAGTTATGGGACTTACTAAGATTTTATTCAAGTGATATAAAGAGGAAATAATCACAGAGTTTGAAAAAATGGTGGGGGGGAAGGGAGGTTAAAATTATTGTCTGCTATCACCTTATCAGTTTAGCCTAATACATTACTGACCGCAAATGAAATAATTTTCACCACGGGGTGTTGGGGACTACTCAAAACACAGGCCCACCTGTCTAATGCATTAGATAAACCAAAGGAAGGTCATTCATTAGTTTAGCACATTAAATTGTCTTGATTTTCATGCTCCACCAAAGACATTTTATACCTTCTTTGGCCACAATTTCCTATGGGAAGGTTGAGAGTGTTAGTCAAGGCAAGTGCTCTCCACGTTTCCATCTTCCTGCTTTCATTGACCAGTGATCCTAGTTTTTAAATGTCTACATAAAAACTAATTCTTTTTTAACATCTTATTTTGTAGAGTCTCAAGTTGTGGTTGCTAAATGCTCTGGCTGAGTAATGGTGAATACATCATTTAATCTCCTCCGGACATAGTTTTTTAATACAAAATAAGACTCAGAATATAATTAAAGATATAATGAGAAATCTAACCAATCAAAAGATACAATAAATAAAGAGCCAGCGTAAATACCTCATGGAAATGACATCCACACGTCCCCTGCAAAAACTCTTTGTATCGCCCCATCGTTATAGTAAATGTGTCAACCACTTCATAGCCATATGTCTTTGCAGCATCCAGAATAATCAAATTTTCTTTCCATAAGTTCTGAACTTCACTCTGTATTGCAAAAGAGAAGAATGAGAATTTTTATTGAGGATTGTTTTATGATTTAATAACTCAGGTAGAAATCATGTAAATATCGTCTTTTTTACAGATAGATCCCACTGCAGGAAAAAGACTTAATTTCACATGCATTTTTTTAAATTTTATTTTAGAGAGACAGAGAGAGAGAGAGAGAGAAAGCGAGAGAGCAGTGGGGGGGGGGGTAGTGGTAGAGGGAGAGAGAGAATCTTAAGCAGGGTCCACTCTCAGCATGGAGCCCAATGCAGAGTATCGTGATCTGAGCCAAAATGAAGAGGCAGAGGCTCAAATGACTGAGCCACCCAGGTGCCCTTCACATTCATTTCTTAAGTAAAGATGTGTTATCAGTTTTTTATTCAAAATATAAATATAAACATTTATGTATATATAAAACACCAACACATAAATATCTATAATGACACACAGTTTGGAACTTTTCCTTCTATGAAAATTAGTTTTATTTCCCACAAACATCCATTGAAATATTTAAAAGTCTTACTTTAAAAGTCAAAATTTGAAAATCACAAAGGCTGTCTCCATCTATTTGGACTTTTATTCATTTAGTCATTTGAATATTAATTAGTGTCTGTTTTGTGCTTAGCTCTGCTAAGGGACAAGAATACAAGGGAAAAGAAATCATGGCCCCTGGTCTTAAGACATTGTATTCTAACAGGAGAAATAGATTTGTAAACATTTGCTCAGTCCTTTAATGGATTTAAATATGCTGGGCTCTGGGCTAGTCAGAAGAAGGAATAGCTGTGCAGGGGCAGGGGGACAGCTGGACAGTGAGGCTTCAGGAAGAGGATCCAAAGCAGAGTGAGGTTTGCCTATTGGATGGAGGTGGGGGCACCAGAGAAGAGGAGTGTGCTTCAGGGGGGCAGCAGAATTGAGTGAAATTTCCAGCCGCTGCTTTTTTGGATCATATTCTTCCCTCCCTCCCAACCATGTCCAAAGCAACGATGGTGCTTGGCAGAAAGTCTAATTCAGATCCAATGCTGAGAAGAGGGACCCTGCACTAACTACTCTAACTCTGAGATTCCTCATCAGCCTGGTTAGGATTTTCTTAGACTGACCTGTAGTCTGAGACTCTTCCTACCTCATCCATCCTTCCACTCCCTTCATATCAGACACATTACAGCCAACCACAGTGCCCAATGCATAGTAGACACTCAAAAAAATATTTGGTGCAAGATTGAGGGATATGCACTGGGTGCTATCCCCTGAAAGTCTTCCTGCCTACTTGGCACCCTTCCCTTTATCCTTTCCAGACATTCTTCTTAATAAATCCCCTTATTTTGCTAATCTTGTCTGCTGTCTGTTTCTTAGAAAACCCAAACTGACAGAGGGAGGAGATTGCTCTTGCCTTTTCTAAAGGACAAAAATGCTGTTCATTTTCCCGGTGAAAAAGTGAATCACTTGCATTTGTTGATCAGGCTGCAAAGTAACAGAAGCAGTACACATAGGTCTAATTTTCTGTCTTCTCCACTGTGCTAGCATACCTAATCTTTATGTGACATCATTTCCCCCAAAATAAAAGTAGTGAACAGAAAAAATTCCCACTGAAGGAATCTAGGGCAAGGAAACACATGTGAATTTCGTCTGTGCCATCATGTGAACCGTGATGTTCAATATTGTTTGCAGGCTTCTTCTTGTCCAGTTACAAGTATTTTCTCAACTTTAATATGTCTGATTATGAAAGGTATATGGAACTTTACAGTAAGCAGTTTCTTAAGAGAGTTTTCTAGAGAAAGGTTGGTTCTCTGGGAAATAGATTCTGAGATGGGCATTTGCATAACAGTAGAGTGCTTTGGGGGATCAAACACTTATAAGGAAGTGATGTAGCTCCAACAGGGGCTTTTTGTGCATCCCCCTGGGAGTTTTAGAGCTGGCACGGTCCCTCCGGGATGGCCCAATTGGGGAAAGGGGACTGAATCTTGGCACTCCTGCACTGCCAAGTTGGGGCTCTGCAGAGAAAGGCAGTACTGTCAGCAGTCAGGTGTGAGTCCTTACTGGGTCACACTCCCAGTGGCCCAGTTGAATGAATATTTCAGCCTTGAAGGGGCGATCTGGGAGCAGCTAAATCATATGAAGTATCACTCACTCCTTGCATGGGATATTTTTTTGAAAATCTACCATCTGCTGAGAATTGGGTTTTGCATTTGGGGTACCAGAGTGAGCAATGCAGCCCTCCCTCCCCAGTCCTTGCTCTCACAGTGGTTAGTCTAGCAGGGGAGACAGACAACCAAGGATTGTATCTGTTGAGCGACATGAATAAAGTCACAAGACATTATTATAGGAGCTCATAGCAGGAGTAGCCAATTGAGTCTAGTGCATCAGTTAAGTCTGCCCCATGGTAAACTAACACTGGAAGGGTGACTGGAAGTTGTTCAGGTGAGGAGTTGGTGAGAGGTGGGCTCCATGAGGAAGGAACAGTGATTTCAAACACCTGGAAGTGTCTGAGAGCATGATGTGCTTGAGAAACTGAAAGTTGCCCAGTAGGACTGAGCTCAGTAGTGGTGCGTGTGTGTGTGTGTGTGTGTGTGTGTGTGTGTGCACGTTTGTGTATATGTAGGGATGAGTCCACAGAGGAAGGCAGAGGCAAGCTCGTGAATGGCCATGGAAGCCTATGATTGAGTTCACCCTTATTTTCTGCCTCCACTTGATATTATCCCTTTCTCTTTCATTCTATTCTTTCCTTTCCATTTCTCCCCTCCTTTTGCCTTCATTCAGTTTGAAAAGACTGATGAGGACCATCAAAGCCCTGGTGGGAAGCATAGTATTTAACACAGGATCTGGCACAAAGCAAGTGCTGTAGAAAAGTTTGCTATCTGCTCAGATGAACTGATTCAGAGTTAGGAACCTACATATAAATAGGGGCCCTAAGTACTCCAGTTTTGGCAAGGAGGAAAGTGGGGCTCAGAGAAGAATTCTCAAGAATCAACTGTAACCTTGACTATAGCCTTCAAATAACATTAAAGGAGATTTAACTCAAAACCCACAGCAAAAATTATCAAAGGAGCCCTCGTCTAATCCCTCACAGTCTCCAACCCTTCAGCTACCCAACATGCAAACTACCTGCACTCATTTTAAGTGACCCTAACTTCCCCACACTAACTCCAAGAAGCTGAATTTGGAGGCTTGACTTGGGCCACTTTCTACCAGTTCTGTTTTTGCATCACAGATCTAGCATCTCGGCAGGCGAGGTGGCAAGAAGGGAGAGGGGGTTGTGTAATCTGCACCGGGGAGAGCTAGGAGAGCTCAACATTATTATACAAAAATAAATCTCACTCAGTTTACACAGTACACGGACAGCTTCCTGTCTCCCCAATTCCCAGTGCTCCCCTGAGCTCCCTGAAGCAACTGCACACAAACCTGCCTGCCGGTGAACTCTCCTCACTTGAACAAGAGCAGCTGGTTCTCTTGCCTACAGATGTTGCCTTTTCTTTTCTTAGACTTCTATTCAGTGTTGAGACTAATTTACTCTTTTCGAGAAGAACTGGTCAGAGGCTTCTAACTCCTCCCACTTATGAATATCCAAGGAAAGGAAAAACTAATGATACTACTTCAAAGACTTTTTTTTTGAAAAGCAATCAGTCAGAAATCATCTTCAAAAAAGCCACTCTTCCCCAAAGTACTCATTGATACTGACAATTTCATTTGTGGTTCCAGCATGAGTCTTTAAAGGTGTATGAAACATTAGTGGGGTAAGGGGATACTTAAAGCCTAATCTCTCTCATCTACCCCCCAGTTCTTTGTTTTTTTCATAGCTCGGCATCCCTTTTCTTCTCTTATGAGCTCAAAGCATCCACAATGTATTCATGTGATATGGTCTCCTTATTTCCCGGAGTAATTATAACTGGTTTGAAATCATAATCCTTAACTATATTATCCTCCTTTGATTTTTTTTTTTTTAAACATTTATTAATTTTGGAACAGAGAGAGACAGAGCATGAAAGGGGGAGGGGCAGAGAGAGAGGGAGACACAGAATCGGAAACAGGCTCCAGGCTCTGAGCCATCAGCCCAGAGCCCGACGCGGGGCTCGAACTCACGGACCACGAGATCGTGACCTGGCTGAAGTCGGACGCTTAACCGACTGCGCCACCCAGGCGCCCCAATCCTCCTTTGATTTTTATGAAGGCTGCTGAGTATTGCGTACTGTCTTGTGGGTTCTTTTTCAGACACCAGCAAAGATTCTTATAGGAACCACAAAGTTCACATAGCCTGGAGGGAATGGGCCTACCTGTGTCAAGAAATGCAGTCCATCCACTGGGAGATGAAATCCAATTCCCAAAGTTTTGATGATCACAAGGATATTGAGTAAATTTTCCCTGTGAATCAGAATTCTGAGGTCATAAACTTTGATTACATTTCTAGATGTTTGTGCTTACATAAACAAATACACTGGAATTCTTCTAGAATGTGATAATTAGCTTATAAGACTAAATTCTCATTTTATAAATATGATACATTTTAGGGTGTTTTTTTTTTTGTGTGTGGGTAGAGTTTTATGTGCCATTGGGCATGTTTTTACCCATAGTAAATTCAAATTTGGATAATGAAGAGCCATCCAGTGATTGGATACGAAAGTATTTTGAAACATTTTAAACTAGACTTCAAGTATGTTATTCTAAATTACAAACTGCTCTTTAGATAAAATCTTGATGAAATTTAGTCACATTAAGGGTGACTTTTCTTTTTAACTTAGGATACTAATGACAGTTATTACTTCAGAAACCTACCTCTTCAAAACCTTGTGAATAATTTGTAGGTGATGGGAATTAAGCCACTGAACACCACCAACGACCAATACGGTCTGGCCTGTATTCTCCAGGGGACGTGATCTGAAATCCAGGAAGGAAAACAACACATGTTGCCTTGAAACAGATGGCAAACATTTTAACAGCAGTGCCTCACATTTCACTGAACCATATCTAGCATCCTGATCACAGGACCCCCTTGTCGTTTCCAACTCATTTTCAGCCATATTACTTGGCATTTAAGCTTTTCAGCACATTTGATATACAGTGAGCCATTATGACTGCTAGTAAAACATCAGCACATTATGGCATTGTGCCATACATAAGAGTTCCATTGTACCTTTGCAAGAGATGTTCAAGTGCTTTTTCAAATGTTGGTCTCAATGAAGGGCTTATCCAGAACTGGGGATAGTAGGAATAACTGACCAAAGTCTTCCCACCATTGACATTGTGGTAGAATTTTGTGCCGTGGACCTTCTGCCATTCTTGCAAGGTTTCATTTAGTCTTTCGATCAGATAGTACATTATTCCTCTATTGGTTGAATCTCCAATGAAAAGAATCTGTAAATTAAAGAAAAATATTTGCTTTCAAACCTGATGTTTACAGGATGAGAGATAATATAAAATAAGTGATTTCTTGAGGACTCATAAAACCACAAGTCTAATTCTTTGAAGGAGAGCCCTTTCAACTGTTAGAAATGACATCCATCATATTCTCCCCCAAGCCTGTTCATTTTCCTCTCTTCCACACTCCTAGCAATGATATCAGTCACTGACCTGCTAACTCATGTTTAAAACTTTTTGCTTTACACTACCTTCAGGTTCTCCTCCTCCTTTATGCTGTTTGCCTTCCCATTTAATTAGCTTCACAAATTTTATTGATTCAAATAGGTATGAACTATTTTAGTGCTGTAAGAACACTTAGAGATTTTTCTAACCTCTTTGTTTTATAGATGAGAAAACTGGGGATCTGCAGAGGTTAAAAATCTCAGTAAAAGTCATGCCACTACTTGAGTAAAGAGCCACAGAACCCGGAGCATGAGTTTCTGAACAGTCGTCTATGTCCCCAGGAGCAGATCCCAGCACCATTGGCCCTCAAACACTCATACTCATCACCTCTTCCACATCCCCTCCCAGTGTGGCTCTGCTTCAGGCTCCCATTAACTCAAATCTGTGCTAGTGGCCACCCTTGAATCCATTCTACACACACAGTACTACAGGGATAAATTTCCAAATGCCTACTTCTGGTCATGTTACTTTCATGCTCAAAAACCTTATCAGCTCTCCATTTTCTATAAAATTAAGCCTAGTTACTTAGGTTCAGCCAACATTTGCTAAATTTTTGTTGCATATCAGACTTTGCTGGGTGGAGATTTCACACAGAGTACTCACTTCTAATCTTCATAATTGTGAGGTCTGAGTCATTATTCCTATTCCACAGATGAGGAATTTGAGGCTCAAGGAGATTGAGGTCATAAATCTAGTAAATGGGGAACACAGGACTCAAGCCTAGGCCCTTTAACTCCAAGTGCAAGATCACTGGCCCCATCCTCTCAATGCTTTCCGTCATGTAAGATTCCTACTTTTTCACTGAACATGATTTGCACTCCACAACATCTGTTTCTCCTTGTACTAATCTGTCTAGAAAGCTCCTCCCTCTGCCACCCCACCTGTGTAAACGCTACACAACCTCCAGACCCGAAACAAACATGTCTCATAGTAGGTCTTGCCCAATGCCCCAGCTTGTCCAATGACCTTGTCTGTCCTCTGTGATTTCATTACATTTTTAATTTCCATGACAGATGTTATCAAAGACTACATGAAACTATGGCTATTTGTGTCTGTGTCTTTTTTTCTCATATCATATCAAGAAGTATTTGAGGTCAGAGCCAGGGTTAATTTCTAAATTCTAATTTCCCCCATACTACCATGCATGCACTTTAAAAATATTTATTGAATTGAAAGTCAAAACGACTTTTGTTAGAGACAATCCTTTTTAAGGTCTTTGAACAGGTTTATTTCATTCTTCACTTTTCTCTCTCTGTATTGAGATTTCTCTTTCCGTCAGCCATGCACATATTTTCCTCTGATTTCAACAGCAGTCATTGCTATCACTTCTCAGGCACGACTGCATTTGTCCATGCACAACAAATTAGGTGAGAATCTGCAAAAGTTTGTCCTTTCCATGGTAAATGTACTCAATTAGCTGTGTGAAGAAATGCCAGAACATCTCTGATTTGCCCTCAGATCAAACACCATAAGTATCATCAAGTTGAACTGAATAACATAAGATGCCAAGGCCCCAGTCACCGATCCTCTTGGTCAAGTTCTATTTGGGGCAATAAAATTCCAGTATGATTAAATAACTTGTGAAATCATTTGAAATTCTTACTTTGACCTGTAACTATTCATATTTCTGGTCCAGATTTCTGATTTTTAAAAGGGGAATTGTGAATAATCAGGAAGGCTCTTAATTTCAGACACAGTACTAGTAATTTTCCAACTCCATCTGTATTAGTTTGCTGGAGCCCCCATAACAGAGTACCACAGGCTCGGTGGTTTATGCAACAGAAATCCATTTTCTCATGATTCTGCAGTCAAATGCTCTTCCACTGAGCTATACCCCCCATTTTCTCATGATTCTGGAGGCTAGAAGTCCAAGATCAAGGTATTTGTATGGTTGATTTCTTCCGAGGGCCTTTCTCCTTGCCTTGTAGATGGCCATCTACTCTCTGTGTCTTCACATGGTCTTTCCTCTCTGTGTCTGTGTCCTAATCTTCTCTCTCTTTTTTTTTTTTTAACGTTTATTTATTTTTGAGACAGAGAGAGACAGAGTATGAATGGGGGAGGGTCAGAGAGAGAGGGAGACACAGAATCCGAAACAGGCTCCAGGCTCTGAGCAGTCAGCACAGAGCCCGACACGGGGCTCGAACTCATGGACTGCGAGATCATGACCTGAGCTGAAGTTGGATGCTTAACCGACTGAGCCACCCAGGCGCCCCTAATCTCCTCTTCTTGTGAGGACACCACTCACATTCGATGAAGGCCCACCCATAAGACCTTATTTTACCTTCATTGCCTCTTTAAAGGCCCTACTTTCAAACACAGTCATATTCTGAGGTATTGGGAATTAGGACTTCAACATATGAATTTGGTTGGGTGGGAGCACATTTCAGCTCTTAATACCAGTAAAAGGCCTTTAATATCAGCTTTTTAAAAAAAGTTTTAAAATTTATTTTGAGAGAGAGAGAGGAAGAAAGAGTGCCTGAGTGAGCAGGGGAGGGGCAGAGAGAATGAAAGAGAGAATCCCCAGCAGCCTCCTCTCTGCCAGTGCAGAGCCCAACCTGGGACTTAATCCTATGAACCAGATCATGACCTGAACTGAAATCAAGAGTCGGGTATTTAAACAACTGAGTCACCCCAGCACCCCAAGATCAGCTTTTAAACTAAATTGCCACTACAAGTTTTCCCAAAAGGTTCTTTTCATTATAATATGAAGTTGCAATCCCTCCTATGGATCTCCAGGCAGCCAGTAAGGTCACTGGGTGTCTGTATTGTGGGTTACAGAGAGAGATATAGAGGTTTAGGAAAATCAAAGTAGCTGCACCCTATTCAGAGAAGCACATCTCTAGATAGTTGGTCTTTTCTGTGGGATTATACAAAGATAGAGCCCACCAAAAATGTTAGAGGCAAAAAGAGTTAAGGGTCAAAATTCTTAGGTATGGTTATTTTTATTTATTTATTTTTTTTAACGTTTTTTATTTATTTTTGGGACAGAGAGAGACAGAGCATGAACGGGGGAGGGGCAGAGAGAGAGGGAGACACAGAATCGGAAACAGGCTCCAGGCTCTGAGCCATCAGCCCAGAGCCCGACGCGGGGCTCGAACTCACGGACCGCGAGATCGTGACCTGGCTGAAGTCGGACGCTTAACCGACTGCGCCACCCAGGCGCCCCGGTATGGTTATCTTTTAACTAGGCAATTTTAGACAAATTATATGATCCCTCCAAAGGTTCATTCTTTTATGAGTAAAATGGGGAAAATAATAGCACCACTTTTGAGGACCTCAATGAGATTTTAATACCTGTCTTGTTCCTGGCACACAGAAAGCATACAAAGTGAGCTAGCATTAAGGCATAGGAAGGGCACGGAGCACTTTTGAATGTATTTAGTGTGACTTGCAGTGCACTGCTAGCCCCTGTAAATTCATTAACTTGTTTAGAGAAAATGTCAGAGAAGATGGGGAATGTCTAAATCACAGCAGTCTCTCTCTTGCCCTACTAACCTTGCTATAGGTCCCCCAGCAGGACACAGAGGGTTGCTGGTGAAACTCGAGTCCCTCACATCTCCATCCCTTCGTAGTGACCAACAAAAGGTGCATGGATGGGGGGGCGAGGAAGCCTCACCACCGTCCTCTGCAAAACAAGTTCTAAGTTGCAAATATCTAGGGGCACTTGGGTGGCTCAGTCGGTTAAACGTTTGATTCATGGTTTCAGCTCAGGTCATGATCTCACAGTTCCTGAGTTTGAGCTCCATGTTGGGCTCTGAGCTGACAGCGTGGAGCCTGCTTGGGATTCTGTCTCCCTCTCTCTCTGCCCTTCCCCGGCTTTCTCTCTCTCTCTGTCTCTCTCAAAAATAAATAAATGAACATTACCAAAAAATGAACTGCAAATATCTAGACAGCATTTTTCAAGTCTAATGGACACTACTCTGGGAAGAATATTTTCTAGAGAATTATTTTCTCCCATTGCCTTTCTATTCATGACAAATTCAAATGATTAAATTGTAATGAAAATGAAAATACAGTTGTGATTTTAAGATTGCCTGTGCTGTAGGGGAAGCAGTTTTTGTAAAACGTTGATTGGTATTCCTACCTAAAAGATTTCTAACTTCAAAAGGTCAGCTCTTTTAAGTATACATACACAATTTAAAAATAACATCAGGAAATGGAGTGGTTTTTCTTCAGTTACATGGCTAATATTCAATCTTTATATGTTTTATTTTATTTTTTTAAATGTTTTATTTTATAAATATATTTTATTTAAGTGTTAGATATTTTATTGTTTAAATATTTATTTTTGAGAGAGAGAAAGCACAAGTGTACGTATGCTGGCAGGGGAAGGGGCAGGGAGAGAAGAGAGAGAGAATTACAAGCAGGCTCCAGCACGTGAGCCCAATGTGGGTCTTGATCTCACAAACTATGAGATCATGACCTAAGCTGAAATCAAGAGTCAGATGCTTAACCGACTGAGCCACCCAGGTGCCCCCAATCTTTATATCTGTTATGTCATCCAATTCAAGAATTTTTAAAAATAAAATTTGTAGGGGCGCCTGGGTGGTGCAGTCGGTTAAGCGTCTGACTTCAGCCAGGTCACGATCTCGCGGTCCGTGAGTTCGAGCCCCGCGTCAGGCTCTGGGCTGATGGCTCAGAGCCTGGAGCCTGTTTCCCATTCTGTGTCTCCCTCTCTCTCTGCCCCTCCCCCGTTCATGCTCTGTCTCTCTCTGTCCCAAAAATAAATAAACGTTGAAAAAAAAAATAAAATAAAATTTGTAGATTATTTG